ATGACCCTCCATTATGGTACTGTGCACTGTGAAACCCAGATGTCAGCTGGGCTGTCCCTTGAGATCCAATTGGCTGGAACTGATTTCCAGATGCAGGGAAGTCCCAGTGGACAATCCCGTAAGGTTTTGGCAGCACCGTGTGGAGGAGTTGTATTTCCTTTACTCATTTCTGTTGCTTTCACGGACTCTTCAGTTTGTGAATGATATTGTAGTACTTCTTGGTAAAATAGAGGAGCAGCGAAATAGAGGCAGGCCCTCGACAAGATGGATTGGCACAGTGGCTGCCCCAGTGGGCTCCACCGTAAGAACCATTGTGAGAAGGGTACAGAACCAGGCAGTGGGTCATTGTTATGCACAGCATCACAACCAATGCAACGGCACCTAACAGTTGTTGACAGGCTTCGTTCTTCACTAACTAGAGCACACTAACCCCCTTCTCCATTCCTTCACACCCCCAAATTTTACTCACAAAAGGCTGCAACAGGCTTTTACTGAAGATTTGGAACAATGAACAGGATTTGCATTTTAGCACCACATTTATCCCCCAGACCAACCGAACACACTTCTAACTCATAGTGGCCCTAGAGAGGATTCCTGAGGGTTGTAAACCTATGAAAGCAGACAGCCTCATCTTCCTCCATGGAATGAGTAGTGGGTTTGAACTGCTGACTTTGTGATTAGCTGTTTAATGCTTGCCCAATAATGCCACCAGTTCTTTGTCAAAATTCTTTTACCATACTGCCACCAGGGAGCTCAGTTCCTCATGAGCGTCCTCACTGGTTAGCCACGCTTCCAGTTACATGGCCTTGATCCAGCTCCTCTTCTCTGCTGCTCAACGCTGCCCCGTGGCTCCTTCTCTGCTGACTTCCCTGAGAGCAGAGACGATGTGGGGTTGCCTTCCAAAAGAGAGGATCTCACTTTCTAAATAAATCTCTTTAGTTTTTTTCTGAAGCAATTATGATTTGGCTGTGTTTCTTTGTACTTGATGTTACTGTAGTTGTGTCTTTATACACCTGGCTCCAGAGGTCCGCTGTGAGCTCCTAATGTGGAGGCCTTGGAGGCCTTGGAGGCAGAGCAATCACTGCCACTCCTCCTCTGAAGTCATAATGGAGGAGGACAGAAGACCAGGTTAAGAACCCATGTGCTATAGGTCACAATGGCAGAAAGGTGTAAACAACCTAAATATTCATCAGCGGATGAATAGATCATCAGAATGTGGTACATACCAGGGATCTTCAAAAAGTTTGTGGAAAAATTCCATTATCTCTTAACTCTGTTTTCCCATGAATTTTTTGAAGCACCCTCATACATTTAATGGGATACTAAGCCATAAAGGAAAATGATTCCTGTGGTGACGTGGAATCACTTGCTATGACTCTTCCATCCATAGTCTTTGTAACTCCACCCAGTGATTTGGTGGCAGCAGATAAGTAAGGTGTGGTGAAGATTGGTCACATTCCTCTTATACTCACATCCCTCTGAATATAAAAGAGCCATCGCAGAAGCAGGAAGAAAAGGAACCCCACAGCCTCTAAGAAAGAAGAATCACCAGCATTATGTGTGAGATCCCTGCCTAAAGTAGCAGGTCTTGAAGGTCCTTACCAGAGGCAGCGGACTACAGGCAAAGACCATGAGACCAAGCAGAGGAGCCACAGTGAGACCATGAGACAGAGTGAAGTGGCTAAGGCACCACGTGGCTGAGAGGCCAAGGACCAGAGAGAGAAGTAGTTGCCAACATGGCTGAGAAGAGTACCACTGTGGATGAAAGGGCTGTATCCTTCATTGTTTCTGATCCTGACTTGTGGTAATCTGTGAACTTCACAAATAAACCCCCATATCATAAGACTGTGAGTTCTGTGTGGCTGTTGCAATCGATTATGGAGCCCAGCAGAGAAGTAGCGTGCCACGGGAGGGATGGTTGGTGTCAGAAGAGGATGAAGAAGGATGGAGGGTGGAGGTGTGTCTGACCTCTGCCTCAGAGCAGTTGTCCTTGGGCAGACAGACTTGGATTCTCCTTTCCCCTTGTATAGCCAGAGGAGGTATGACATGGTTCCCACACCATTTCCTCAAATCTCCATACATGTACAAACATGATGATCCTCGAAAGCATTATACTAAATGGAATAAGTTACTCACAAAAGGACAAATACTGTATGGTCCTACTGGTATGAAATATGAGGGTATGCAAAGAATCTTGCTATTCGGGTTCTAGTTCATCCATGCATGGGTTTCTTCCAATGAAAATGTATTTTTTTTGAAAATGTATTTTAAACACATCTCTGCACTCAGTGGACAGCTGCAAACAAGTCTCTCAGCAATACACTTCCCTTTGTCTCAGGAGGGTGCCTTGAACGAAAGCTCTAACCCAAACAGTAGCTTCTGAGGGGATCTGCAAGGCCAGGGAAACTCAAGGCAGAGAGGGCAACTCAGAGGATTATGGCACCGTTTATGGGGGATTCCCCAGGGAATCCCGATAGACTTTTTCAGAGGACACAGGACAACCATCGGGCATTATGATGAAGGCCTCATTGGTGACAAAGAGGCCAGGAAAGTTGTGTTTTCCAAGCTCATTCTTTGAGGTACGGATTGTCGTATGAGAATTTCAGTGGGAAATGACATTCCCACTCTTCAGTACTGGTCTTGCCCCGAGACATTTTTCTGCTCCCCAAACTTAAAGCATAGTAAAAAGGAATAAGTGCTGCTGTTTTAGTATGACATATTCTTCAGGAAAGGGTTAAGGATGGAGCCATTGCCTTCAGAAGTATGTAGACCTAAACAGGTGATGCTGAGAAACAATAGCTTGACATTTTAAAATAAAGGTTTCTATGACTTTGGGGCATTACTTCTTGACTTAGTCTTGTAAAGAATAGGGAAACGCATACAGCTCAAAGTTTATTAGTGGTTACCTGGAACAAGAGGAAGGGCGAGCGAGCGAGGCATGCTATTGCTTCTCGGGCACATTGTTTCTGTTAAGGGTGATGGGAAAATCCGGAAATGAATAGTGGTGATGTGGTTGCCCAACACGATGAACACGGCATTGAGCTGTACGTGTAAGAAACTGTTTCAATGGTAATTTGTGTATACATATATCTTTACCACAACTAAAACAACACAAGTTCAATTGCCTGTGTCAGTTGCAGTAGTCAGCCTCCGGCCTGTGGTGAAAAGCTGTCCATTCCTGTGTCCTCCCATGAACACGTGGGGAGTGGACCACTGTGATCCACTGAGTGAATTTTGGAAGTGGATTAGTGGACCTTTCTTCCTAGCCCATCTCCAGAAGCTCGGCTGAAACCTGTTCAACATCATACTGTGTACCCACCACTGATAAACGGGGGGTGGTGGTGGTGTGCATGTAATTAGCTGCTGGCCGGGAGTTGAACCTGAGTATCAACTTGATGGTACGAGTGTGTCTCCTACATGGAAGGCAAACATTCTCCCACTGAGTCACCACTGCACCCACACTATGACCAGCTATGCAGCCACTTAGGAAAAGGGCTGAGGACTGTAACAATCCAGGTAGCGCACATACAGCGGTTTCTGAGGCAGACACTAGGTCCTCAGCATGTGGCTGCGCTAGCTCCTCCTGGCTGGTCTTTTGCGGTCAGATTGTGGCGGCGACAGGCTCCATGCAGCGTGAACGTGCCAGGGAAGAGCAGGGAAGAGGCTTCTGGTGAGGCTGGATGTGTGACTGAGTAACCCAATTCCTGACACAGGAGGACAAAGTGTGAGTTTTCAGATATTTTTCCCTCCCTCCGTTCATTAAGATTGTCATTCAAGCATCTTGACCCCATAAAGGACATCTCTAATTAGGCAGGCTGGAGGGAAGAGTAAAAAAGGCTCAGTTGTCTTGTAAAACCATTTTAGGCCTCCCTTCCCATTACCCCTGGTAGCATAGTGGGTTGGGTGTTAAGCTAATAACAAAAAGGTTGTCGGATCAAAATCTAGCTGTTCAAAAGGACAAAGATGGAAACCCCAGGGAGCGGTCGGTCCCACTCTGCCCTATAGGATCACTATGAGTTGAAATCCAGTTGATAACAATGGAGTTTTTTCCTGAGTCCTGGTGGCATAGTGGTTACATTTTAGGTTGCTAACCACGAGACAAGCAGTTCAAAATCACCAACCACTCCACAGGAGAAAGATGAGGCTTTATTAAACTGGCATTCCATGATGCTCAACTTCCCGACATGATAGCTGAAGACAAAGCGGGTGCATAAGCAAATGTGGTGAAGAAAGCTGATGGTGCCCAGCTATCAAAAAATATAGTGTCTGGGGTCTTAAAGACTTGAAGATAAACAAGTGGCCATCTAGCTGAGAAGCAACAAAGCCCACATGGAAGAACCACACCAGCCTGTGATTATGAGGTGTTGACAGGATCAGGCATCAAAGAACAAAAAATCTTATCCATGTGAATGTGAGGGAGTGTGGAGTAGAGACCCAAAGCCTATATATAAGCAACTGGATATCCCCTTACAGAAGGGTTGCGGGGAGATGAGCCAGTGAAGGTACAGTATAGCAACGATGAAACACCCAACTTTTCTCTAGTTCTTTAATGCTTCCCCTTCCCCCCACTATCATGATCCCAATTCTACCTTACAAATCCGGCTAGACCAGAGGATGTATACTGGTACAGACAAGAACTGGAAACACTGGGAATCCAGGACAGATAAAATCTTCAGGACCAATAATGAGTAGTGATACCAGGAGGGGAAAGGGAAGGTGGGGGAGAAAGGGGGAACCGATCACAATGATCTACATATAACCCCCTAAAAGTGGGTAAAGGGAGACATTGGACAGTGTAAGATGTGAATGGATTGTGATCAGTTGTACGAGCCCCCAATAAAATGAATTTTTAAAAGTTGGTGTCTTGGAAACCCACAGAGGCAGTTCTACCCTGTCCTATGGGGTCTCTAAGAGTCAGCAATGACCTGATGGCAGTCAGCGAGAATGACTAAAGATTGAAGATTCATCTGGGGATTTTCTATATAGAAAGCAACACAAGGCAAGGTTAAAAACTCTTTATTTGATAGACAAAGAATAGGTCTCGCATCATAAGGAGTTGCTTGCAAGGATCCAACTGTGTGTAGCATTTCCTTATGCATTTCAAACCAACAAACGTTAAAGGCAAGAGTGGTACATCTTTCCTGAAAATCTTTACCACCTTCTTAGCACACAGAGGGTACCACCTTAGCGAGCACTCCCGGGGAAGCAATACTCCTGATAACACAAGCATTTCCCGAGGCCCCCCTACTCCACAGCCGAGGCCCCATTGGCCTGAGCCCCACTGACTAGCCAACCTAATGAAAACCACCTTCGTGGGAGGAAGCTCTCTAAGGCCAGGAAGGGTGCATAGTTTTCATTGAAAGACCTGATTTAGGAAGAACCTCTCTCCTGGTGACTGCCCTGGAAATGACTGACCGAGTGAGATGTAAAATGGCCTAATATACAAGGGAGCTTCAAAAGGCTCATGGAAAAATAGAATTAAATGATAATGGGAGCTTCCCACAAACTTTGTGACGACCCTCTGCATACATCTGAAAATCAACCCACTCATCTTGATCTGAGGCGCCTGGTGGGGCGGTGGATAAAGTGCTTGCAGCTAAATGAAAGGTCTGTGGTGTGAACCCACCCGCCAAATGCCAACAGATGTGGCAGTCGGCTTCCATCAAGGGCTACAGTCTGGGAATCCCACGGGCAGAGGGTCTTAGAATGGACTTGCAGTGGGCTCATCTCCATTTGGGATTAGTATCCTGGGTAGAATGCCAAGTTTCCTGGTTCATTCACTTAACTAATCACACTTGTCCACAAGGCAAATGGCACAAGAAATGGTGCTTGTGGATCTTTATATTCTTCTTGGCTCCCAAGCCTATTGATACAAAGAATGCCTTTACAGTTTGTCAACCAGTTGCTGAGAATGGTGCCCACTACGTGACAGAGGACCAGCTTCTCACATCAGCCCCGTCTTAATTTCACACCTTCCAATGCACAGGGCACATAACGCAGATGCCAGGACCACCAGCTCAAAGTTCTAGTCTTATCCCAAATACACTTTGATTTCAGTTTTAAGTTATCACAGCGCACATTCTCGATTCTTTTTTTCCAGGTGTGAGAAAGCCGCAGAGGAGAGTTGCTTTATGTGCATAGTAATCTTAGGGATCCAGCGGCCTCTTGGGAGGGTTTTTAGGGAAGGACAAATCCATCGCAACCCCTCCACCTCTGGAGGGGCGAAAAAAGCCTAAAACCATCCAGGAATTTCCCTCCTCCTAAAGATGTTATCAGGAACAGGAATGAAAATATTCTGCATTTCATTCTCTTTTAGGCTTTCCTCTCCTTTTTAAAATAAATGTTATACATTGTCTTCACATTAGAGGACTGATTCTATTGCTTGGAGATGAAAATGACGCAGGGCTGTGGAAATCCTCGTTTCGGTAAAGGATTTTTATTTCATTCAGTAATGGCTAAGGAGTCCCTCCACGGATGGATGGTAATGAGCTCCTCTGGATTCTGACGAGAGCCGTGGTGCTCATCAAACTGCGCATGGTACGGCAAGGTCACCCTTGCAGCTCAGTTCCTACAGGCCCGCCGCAGGGAGCGGAAGCAGCCTACCAGGCCGCACCGGGCAGCGGGCTTTCCTGGGTAGAAGTGCCCTCGAGGTCAGACTGAGAGTGGGCTTCCAGTCTCACTCTGTCTTTCAGGCAGTGTAAAGTGGTTGCCTCCAATATGTTGTTAGCAAGTCAAATACAAACGTCACATCCCTCTCTCCCAGCTTTGTAATGTGTCTGGCTCTTTCACAAACTGAATTTGGGGGTAGGGAGCGCACTCCAAACAGCAAGTATCACAAAATGGCTCAAGCATGAGTGTCGCAAAAGGGGAAGCGAATTCTGGCATTATTCACTCTCAACACCACAGCAGTAGGGCCTTACCCGAATCTCACTGCTGAGGCTGCTGGGATGGGCACCCAGCAGCAAGAAATGGGCAAGGAGCTTTAACCAGGACTCTCTTTCAAAATGGAAAAAAAAATTGGAAAAATCTATTTGAATCGCAAGTCCCTTGTTTAATCAGCAGAATGACTCATATGGCACTGTTGCTTTCAAAACCCTCCATGCTACTTGCTTAACACGAAGTGGCAAAGAAACAAAAGCTTTGTGTTAGAGTTTGTAGTCTTAAAAATAAATAAAAAGTTAGAAGATGCTCAAAGCTTTCATAATCACAGGGATTTTTTTTAAAACTTGTGAGCACATAAATTCCACTCAACAATCTAATGTAAAGTTTCTACAGTGAGAATGGCAAGCAAAAAACATTTGTTCCAAGACCGATTCTTTTGCCAATGCTGAACTTTGGGTCCCTGTATTGCCGGGCTGCAGGTGGGCGTGTTACCCCCAAGGGAAGAAGCTCTGAACTTCTCACTCAGTAGTTAGCACGGAGAAACACCCACTCACTCACTCACAGTAAGTATAAAATGCTGGACGTGTCTGCACCAGCACCTGCTAGCAGTGTGGTATTGTCATCCCCGAGAGCACAAGGCCGGCCACCACGGGCAGGGGGCCCTCCCCCAGGAGTCTCTCCTTTTCTTACAAGTGTGCACAATCCCATTTCAAAAATTAATAAATTAAAAAAATATATACACGCCTCCCCGAAAAAAAACCTCTCAGCTGCAATTCTTCCAAAAGCAGTCCTGCTCCCCAAATTAAGCCAAAGGGGAAGCGTCATTTCTCAGTCTAGCACAGCAGCTTCCCGCTTCCCACAGGCTTGGTGGAAGACACTTTACAACCCAAACTCTTACTGTGCCAAGCCATCAGTGAGAGTTTTGATAGCAATGACAAAAAGAATACTCTGCACTTGTACTCCTGACACTTTCTGGGGGGAGGCCGGGAAGGAATCTTCTTCCCTCTTGCCAGAAAGAGCACGTCGTCCTCAGGAACAAATGGCAGTGGGCAGAAGGGTCAGCAGTGGCAAGAGAAGGTGCGGCCTCCTGGCTGCATCAGGTCATACTTTGTGGGCACAGCACAGCCAAAGCACCTGCCCGGTCCTTCTAGAACCGCCTGCTCTTTGGTTGTGTGACTCCTCCTTGACCTTCAACCCCATGTTCCATCTGCTGACAGAGGCAGTACAGAGGGCTAGCAGGACATGACTGACGCACAGGACGAGGAGAGGGTGGAGGGCTCAGAAGGAGAAGTAAAGGGCTAGAGAGCAGGGGTCCACACAACAGGTCTTGTTGGGCCACTCAGTGCAGCGCAGAGGAGGCCTCTCCGCTCATGACCACTCTGTGCACACCTTGTTGGCATCTTCTGTGATAACTCCTGGTGGTCCCAGCAGAAGGGGGCAGGGTGGGGGCACCCGTGTTGCCACTGCCTACGAGCCATGGCCACAGCTTCGTTTGGCTCGGGCCCACTACTCCTTGGCGGCCATCAGAGAGAGAAGCGCGGTCCTGAGGGGCTGGGGTGGGGGGTGGGGGGTTTCCTGAGGTCAGAGGGGAGTACAGGGCTGACTCCAAACCCGCTTGTGCGGTGGTTAAAGAGGCGGCCAATGAACAGTGTGCAAAGCACAGATGACCACGTCCTGGAGCCCTCCCGCCGCTTCTGCCTCCTCACCAGTGCTGTGGTCTTGGTCTTTCTGTGCATGCAAATGCAGATCAACGCCCCATGTTTTAAACACATGTGTTCATGGAGCCATCTCCTTTTCAAAGCCCACCACGAACCCTTCCTTTCCAGTCCATTCTCCCAACTTTGCTATTTGCCCTTTTCCCACAGCAGCCTGAGAGGTGAGCCACAAATGCCAGTCAACTTGACCAATGGGAGGTTTCCTCTTTTACTTACAGCTCCAGATTACTTAGACTCTTTGGGGGGGTACTTTTTTGGGGGTTTTGTGGGTTTGAAATGCACTTCCCAGAGGGGGGTTACATTAAAGGAACACCAAATCCAATCGGTGGACGCTCCAGAGCACTTGAGCTCAGCTGCGGTTTAAATGAAAACCACGGTTATCAATAAGTAAAATGGTTGAGGGGTGGTGGAATCTGAAAGAAGATGACACTTTAGATAAAACACAAAAACCAAGGCAGAGGGCCAAGCAGCTTACAAAGGCAGAGGGGAAAACCATGGACCCCAGGTAACACAAGAGAAGGTAGGGCGGAATTCGCCCCAGGAGAGATGCTGTTTACTTGTTTCTGAACTCCAGTGCCTTCCAAGTTGACGGGCGGACGGTGAAGAACAAAGCGTTCTCTCTCTTTCTGCCCTGTGGAGCCAGGCAGTCGTCAGCTGACCGCTGACAAGGCGGAAAGACCCGTTTCTCCCAGCCGCCATGGGTCTGGTGGAATGCCACTCTTAGTTTCCCAGAGGGACCCCAGCGCCCTACTGCAACGACTCTGGGAGGGTGCGGACTGTGTGCGTGGCCTCCGTGGCCACGGGAGGGGAGCCATAGAAGGTGCTGGTTTGATTCCTCTGCTGATCTCGGAGGTACGGGGGAACAGATGAGCTTTTGATATGCAGGATCCTGGTGTCCATCACCTGGCAGTCAATCTGCATCATCACTTCGTAGTCCTGCCCGTTGATCACGTTCTCTGCGGAGAAGACACACAGTTAGAGGTCAACAGAACAGGTGCGTGTCTCTGTCAGAAGCGTCAGTCTCGGGAGGACATAAGGACAGCCCTCATTGGCTTGGTAAGGGCGAGAACCACTGCACTGTTGGAGTTCATATCACAGACATGGTGTCTGTCTCTTACTCTTTCCCCACAGTCCATCACCAAGGGGAGGGCAAATGGGACTCGAGAGGGAGGAGGCCACTGGGTAGTAGAAGGGGTAAGAAGCCATCTTGCCCTTCAGCGATGGGAAAGAACCACTGTCGAGGCTCCGCACCACGGGAATGACAAGGAGCCCTGGGCCAAGATGGGGCCGATTCATCAGCACAGTTCTCACTTTACTGAGATTCCCAACTTCAAATGCATGGGTGTGCCTTCGGAGGGTACAGCCCTGTTCATGACTGACCAGCTTACACACCTGACACCACCACCACTTCCCTTCCGGGCGGCAGTCCTCTTTAGTTCCAGAGTGCTTGATTCCAGGAGAGAGATGAAGGCATTTCCAGTTCGGAAGTAAAGGGAGTGCAGTCTAGGACTTGCAGGTAAACTAAAGGCTTATTTTCAGAAGGGAACAGGAAAAGCATATGAAGTTGATGCTTAACAAAGATGTGGTCATTCATTATCCCAATTTAAATACACCGGCCCAGAAAACCACTTGCCATGGACTAGATTCTGATATATGACATCTTTGTGTGGGTCAGAGATGACCTGCACTCCACGGGGCTTTCGGTACCTGATTTTTAAGAAGCAAATCACCACGGAGGGTCTTTCTTCTGAAGTACCTCTGGGTAGATTTGAACCTCAAACCTTTTGGTTGGCAGCAGAGTGCTAATCAGACACACCATACAGACACATAACTACACTCTAAGCCTACTGCCTAAAACAGCAAAAACTCTTTCATTTAAGGAGAGTCACACTCTTCCCTCATTTGTAATTCTGGGTGGTCATTTTCCGAAAGTGAAACAAAGCTGGTGAGATGATAATAAATAGGTAAAGCTTTTCAAACACAACCCCGATCCCAGTGACAGACAAGACAACGTGTGAACTGGTGGGATGCGGGGCACTCAAGCGGGTGTTTCAGTTTGCACTTTCGAGCGAGGAGCTGGGCGGGGGGGACCTGAAAGAGCAGTTGCTGGCGAAGGCCTGGCCTGTTTAAGGAGAGGAGAGAGATCAAACGCCCGGCTTTGCTACGGCAAAGAACTGGATTCCAAAGGCAAACTCTAACCATTCCATTAGCCTCTCTTTTGTGTTGACATTGTGCAAGCCAAACACTGTAAATCTGGAGACAGAAAATCCAAAGTTTGACATTTGATCTTTCGATTCTTTTGTTATGTTTGGGAAAACTGAGCTGTGAAGCTGCTCAATTATGACTCTATGAAAGATTGTAGAGAGCATCTGATACAGGGTGTCTTAACCTAGGGTCTAATTCATAGGTGTCAGGGAGTCCCCGAAGTTCTCCCAAAATTATATGCAGAATTTTATTTGCATGTGTGTTTTTGTGGAAGAGACAGTTCAGAGACCCCTAAAACATCAGGAAATACTTGTCTGATCTAACGATCTATTAACTATCAACTATAAGTATCCTGAGCAGATGCTGAAGCTATCTATTTTAAAGCCAACGGAAGACATAATCCTTCCATGTCTATTGATCACTTTCTACTTCAACGCTTAAAATAGTTTCCATTGATGATAAATTTCCCATTTCAAGTCCTGTAAATCTCTTCACTTAGGATTTAAGCTAATTTCCTCCTTTTCCAGGCTTCGTGCAGATGAAGAACAGCTGGTGGTTGCTGCACAGTAACTAAGCCTGTGAGGCCGTTCTGTAAAGACGTTCCTCCGGAAACTTGAACTCCGTTGTGGCAAGCCCTGCCCTCTGCAATGGCTAGGAAATCATTTGCTTAGCTTAGAGAATTAGATCAGATGCCCAGAAGTTTGACGAAAAAATACATTTCCTCTCAAATGCTTTCCAAAACGTCGGAGCTAGAAGAAAAGCAACCTGCTAATGTGTTTGGAGCCATTTCATTCAGAACATGTGACTGAGTTCCGGTGTAGAGGCGCCATGCTAGCCATTTCCCGTTGGAACCCCGGGCTCTCTCTCCAGTTCAGAAAAACTGAAGGCCCGTCTGCTTGCGCATGTGTTGTGGCACAGAAGAGCAGATAATGGAAAACACATGGACCAGGGACATGCAATACACATTACTAATTTTTACTGCTTTCCTGGATTAACTCAGAATCCAGATGAGCGTTTAAGACCCAGACTGGGTTCTCTCAGCCCAAACCACCTGCAGAGGTCATTAGAGCCCGCGCCGGCCATGTTTACCCTGGTAACTGGAGTTCTTTAAGGCCGCTGGCATCCAGAAGGGATGCAAAGAGCAGGAGTCAAAGCTCAGGCATTTTGAGGGAAACGAACGCAGCAGCTGGATTCTGACACTCAGGAATGCCTACCCACTGCTGGATGGCACTGCCATCTTAAGCCCAACAAGGAAGACTCCAGGCAGACAGAAGGGGCTTCCAGACGTTCACTGGAAACACTCCACTTTCCATTCCCTTTATCCATGCAGGTTGGGAGACCCCCTCGGATGGTCTAGCTGACCTGAAGTAGCCTGAAGAATTCCAATACAAAGTAGTTAAATGGACATGGCGACACTCTTAGGCCACTCCGTGGGACCGTACAAAACAGTTATTGAGGCCCATCAGGACGAAGCTGTTTGGGTGGTTAGTGAGGACGCTCTAACACAGTGGTTCTCAACCTTCCTAATGCCGCGACCCTCTAATACAATTCCTCATGTGGTGGTGACCCCAGTCATAAAATTATTCTTGTTGCTACTTCATTACTGTCGTTTTGCTACCGTTACCCCTGTGAAAGGGTCATTCGACCCCTAAAGGGGCCGCAACCCACAGGTTGAGAACCGCTGCTCTAATGGTTTTACTGATAGGAGGGCAGCCTGAGCAACAGAGTGATTGATGACTGGTGGGCGGAACGCTGGCCAGCCTTTACGTGAAGGCTTGCAGCTCTGTTCATAACGACTGGCCCTGTAAAGGGCATCTTCAACTGCAGCCTATAATCTGCTCCCTACCCAAAAACAACAGAGCAGGCTCTCCCTGAGGAACGGGAATGTGGTGGTCTGGGTAGGACGGAGAGCAAGGGCAGAGATGATTGGAGCTGACGACCAACTGCCTGCTTTCCCTGAGGGAGCACTTGGCTTTCTGGGTCAGAGGGCCAGGCCCTGGTACAGAGAGAAAACACGAATGCCCATGGGTTTTCTGACAGGAGGGAACATGTAAACACCAGCCGGAGCTGTTCCCAGTGCGTTATGTGAAAAGAATGCTCAGCTGATCTTGCAAATGTATACCTAATGAAAAATGACAAGGGCAATTTGGCGAAATGGGACCCAGGAAGGTGGGGACGAGAGATGCTCGCCCTCCCGCATTGATCACGAGTGGTATACATATTCACGGGCTGCTGTCTTACTAGGTCTGGGGCCTTGCAAAATAAAGAGGGAAGATGAAACACCGCTGGGTGTCAGAGGGAAGAAAAGCAGCGACAGGCGAGCACCTCAAATTCTAAGTAAATGCAGCAAATTAAAAGGAAAAGAGATGGCTTAAAATGATTTTAAACACGAGCACGAAGCTGTGATTCTGTCTGCTCCGAAGGGTTGGGGAAGCCAGGAAGTATCTGGACGTTGGTGGTGGAAAAACTCTAGGCAGTGTGGAATTCTGAGTCGCCTGTAAACACACAATAACTGACTGATGACGGCCTGCCAAGACGCTGCTAGGCCAATCAAGCTGGGAGATGACTAACACACAAACCTTGACCATAAGCAGAAACAAACATCCAAAAGCTTCACATAAAATTTAATTTGAAAATGTGACAAGACTTGACCAACGCTTTGCAAAGAAGCCAACATGATACAGTTGATTTCCTCCCAGAATCAGTTATTAATCATAAAATGAGGTGTGTTTGCTCTGTCAGCTGGGTTGGGGCACAAGCCAGACTGTCAGATCTCAGATCTGTGCCTGGATCCCAGGGACTGGGAGGGGAGCAGGGGTGGTGGCGGTGATGTGTGTGTGTGTGTGTGTGTGTGTGTGTGTGTGTGTGTGTGTGTGTGGAGTGGGGTAGGGTGGGGTGTGTTTGTGTGTGTGTGTGTGTGTGTGTCTGGAGTGGGGTAGGGTGGGGAATGGGAGGTAGATAAAAACCTACCCACTCACGGCCCATAAAAGAGAACTTTAATGAGAACAAACAAACAGAAAACCAGAAGGGAAGGGAGGAGGTGGGCGTATAGCAAACCGTGCAGTGGTAAATGTCACATTTCTGCCATGGCTTCCATAAATTTCAGAAACTACATGCTACATGCCTCACCAATCTTATCCCTTACCATTTTGACCCCGAATCCCGGTTTTGACCGGCTTAAAATGCCATGTTTTGTATCTCTGCTTGGGGCACAGAAAGCTCTTTCTCCTCTCCTCCACACAGTCCAATTCTATGAATCCTTTAAGGCCCATATAACATCCTTAAACCAGAACCAAACCCACGGCCGTCCTGTCATTTCTGCTTCATGGCAACGCTACCGGGCAGGGCAGAACTGCCCCTGTGGGTTTCCGAGACTGTAAGTCTTTAGGAAATAGAAAGTCTCATCTTTCTCTCAAGGAGTGGCTGGTGGTGTCGAACTGCTGACCTATTAATGGTCAGCAGCCCAATGTATAACCACTATATCACCGGGGCTTCTTTCCCCATGTCCTTGGGCATACCAATATTGATCTTCCACTTTATAATCAGTATGCGTATGTGCTAATATTGAACTGTGTCAATAAAGGAGATTTGGCTCCTTTTACAAAAATGCTTGGCAAAGCTTGAGGTGGGTGAAACGTCCAGGAGCGTGGGTACTTGCTCATGTGCTGGGAAGAACAGCGAGAGAGTGAGTCACAATTGTGCTGCAGATGGAAACACATGATGTGCTTCCAGCTTGAAGTCGTTCTTGAGA